GACTTGCGGTGAGTGGTCAGCGGTCGGTGGGCGTTTCTCTTCGATAGCGCTGCGGGGAGGGCTATGCTAGATTACTGTGGGCATATCCTTTGTTGCGAATCGCGTGTCGGTCCACACCCTTGAGGAAACGCCTGTCTTTCCACTAGGTAAGTTCCTCCTTCTTCAATTCGACCTTATATTTCGACATTTTCGTGGAGTCCTCCTTCAAAAACCCTCAGGTGCGACAGGTTTCTTGCAGAGGCAGATCATCACGTGATTGAATTCGTTTAGAAGCCTTTCTGTGTCAAATATTGCCTTATACTAGTTCAACCTCGGAAGACTCCTATTGTGCTTGCAGTTTTAGGCCCTTCGGGAAATTCTATTCTTTGTCAGTATTCTGTTTGATTTTTGACTCGGTAGTACCAAATTTAACTAGTTATTTTCGCCCTTGATTGGCTGAATTTCTTCTTTCATATCTCTCGTAAGGTTCCGGTGTTTTTTGGAAATAGCGCTGTCGTTGCTAGGATGCTTTGTTTTATTCGCTCATTAGATTCATATCGTTTCAGATCGTTATGCGATAGCCAGTCCATGAAATCCCTCTCTGCCACAATGCGACGTCCCAGATACATTTATTATATAGTTGTATTTGGTATACTATGCGTTACTTATTATTTGTTTTCTACAAGGTACGTGGATATATTTGCATTTCACTGTTTTTTTCTTTTCTTTCGTTCAGTAAGAAGTTTGTTTGCTTGTTGATGCTTTGATATTTTTTTAAATGCGAGCGAATGCAAACTAAAAACAACTTTTCAAGTGGATTGCAATATTCTCCGAAATGTGGGTTACGAGTGTGGTTTTTGGATGCGTTCATACTGGGAATGTTGGGCTATTTCTCTCTTGGCATGTTTGTTGTCCCCCCTATTATTTCACCTAATTTTTTTTCTTTAATCAGTTCTTCATTTCTCTATGTTTCGGCCCACTCATAGTGGGCCGCTCGATCGTAACGATCGTAACGATTGCACAGCATTAGATACTTATCGATCGTCGGACTTATCGGACAATCGGACGATTGATACGTACCCAATGCTGTGCGGTCGTTACGACCATTAGATCGGACGACCAGGTAGAAATCCGCTTAGTGTTCAAATTCTATATTAAAAATTTCATGATGCTATTTTAAACTTTGTAGGATAACGGGGGAAGTTTTTGTTAAAAAAATAAGCGAAAAGCGATTTTCGAAGGAAGGCCGAACGTATGCTTAGGTATGTTGTTCCGTGTGAGTAAGAGAGAGAGACTGTCATAGAGATTATAATGTTTATCTGTTCGATCTTGACAACCACATGAGAGCAGGGAGGCTCCATCTTATCCCTTGTTGAAACCTCATCATTATTCGTCAGATTGGGTTATTCTTCTGGCCGAACCAACGTGTAGGGCTTGAAGGCCTTTACGAAAACGCGCCCAAACGTTTCGACTTTTCCGTCTTCCCGCAGTGCCTATTAGAAAGGCTTTTCTTTTGTTAAGGCTGGTGTCAGAGTCCGCGATCCGTCGCAGGTTTCGCTGATTTTCGCGATTTGCGCGATTCACGCGACGGATCGCAAAAATTGCAAGTGTGTGAACATTTGAAACACTGAATATGAAACAAGTGGAATCATGAGCAGTCGTCATTCAGCCATCACTATCAAGCAGAAGTGGCGGCAGGATTGGAGAACACCTTGCAGTATTGATCGGGCACTTGTGATTTCCGTGACCCGTCGCGTGAATCGCGTGAATCGCGCAAATCGCGAAAATCAGCGAAACCTGCGACCGGATCGCGTACTGTGACACCGCCTGAGCTGTTTGACCCATAGCGTTTGGTGTCGTGTTCCAAAAACAGCTCGAAGTTCATCGTACAATTGAAATCTTGGCCTAAGTCCCAGCCAGTGCTGCGGGAGCGTTAGCTCAGCACTCCATCCACTATCATTTTACACTAGCAGATCTTGCCATGGGTTAGCTGAAGTGTTTAAGGTAAAGTTCAAGATGCCAAAGCAATCATTCATTGGTCCGCGATGTTACAATCAATCTGGCCACACACATCAGAGGAAAATGGTCTAGTACTGATTCTTTATTCTGCTCATCGTATAAGCACGAGCGGAAGTACTGGCACTAAATATTCACACGAGAAGCTAAAGCTGAGCCGGTTTTCATTGAATATCATCAGAGATGTTGTCCGGCAACATAACAAATGAGAGCAGCTAATGGCGTTTGTCCGAACGCTGTATGTGACCGAGGGATATAGGAAGCCAACGACACGGGCCCTGAAATCTGACTTGCTTGATTTTTTTCTTCGTTTCTTGGCTCTTGTAATGCTGCCAGTAGCCTCAGAGATTTAATTGGCTTGAGCTTCCCACACATAAACTTCCTGCATCAATTTTATTGAGTTTCAGAACACTCGATCGGGATGCCAAAAGAGACTTGTTGAGATCCTACTGCGTACGGAGACGTTGACGAGACTGCACCATTCATATTCATTGGCAAGTTTTGCAACGCAACACTTGAATGGATATTGTTCATCGAGTGGTTGTAGGCGGTGTACCACGATCGGGCACTACCCTGATGCGAGCTATGCTGGATGCTCATCCAGATGTTCGCTGTGGTAGATAGAGACGAGAGTTATACCAAGGATACTCGGCCTTCGTGCACAGTGGAAAAGAAGCGAAAAGGTCGGTATCGTAGATTTGAAAAGGTTTTCTTGTTTGATGATGTTCACAGTTTCATCACTCACCAAGCCATTGTGATTTTGATTAGTGATTCTTTTCATCTTGTACTCGAGGTTCACAGTTGTGCTGGAGAAAATTTTATGAAAAGTAAAAGGGCTCATGGGAGGTCACGTATTGTAGAGTGTTTGACCTGAGCTAGTTACTTCGCGCTTTCCTTGGGCGAAAGCATAAACGCAGCCGAGTGAACCTTGAGAGCAGGTGGTGTTGGTTCGCTGAGATAGAAGGATACTTCTCTGCTTTTTGCAGCGCGAAGCTTTTTTTTGCTGCGTGAAACCCAGATCCGCTACTGATCAGTGGTAGACCTGTGGTTCCAGGAGCGGAAAAAGTTTCGCGGTGCGAAAATTAGGGACTTTGGCGACCTCGGCGTGCCCTTACTTTCCTCGCACTGGTTGCTCCCTTTTGCAAGTGGTGTTTCAGATTGGTCATTGCGGATCGCCGCGATCGATTGTTTGTTATTTACTCCACACGCGAAACTCAGATGGTTACAAATTGGGTGACCGTCTCCTTCCGATCTCCCACCTTACGATTAGCATATTGAGTGTTAGGATTTGGTCTGTCAGTGCACAGAATCAAGGCGGTACTTATTTTTAGTATGCACCACTGAAGTGCAGTTTCATGTATACATGTGTTCCACTAGTCCATGTCCACGCAAATCAATCTCTTATCGCTTTTAGCTTCGAAAACCGAATTTTCGTGGAAGCTAAAGTGCTACAGTAAGATTTCGGTCAGACTCGGCGATTGCATGCGATGGACCAGCGACAGAGCGACGCGGTTCGCTCCATCGCTTGTCCATCGCCTTGCAATCGATGCAGTCGGCTGCGGTATCGATTGCGGGCAGAGCCATCGCCCGTCGCTTGTACACATTGCGTACATTGGTTTACTTATAACGTGTTATATATTCCCATCTGTAAGAATTTCCTCGTTTGGTTCATGATGTTTACTGTTTATTTCATTCGCCATACGGTACTTGTTGCGCCACTATATAGGGGCAATGATTGGCAGAAATTAGATAGACTACACAATAGGGCTAAATTATTTCTCAATATTGCTTTGAAATTAAGGAATGGAATCGTTTACAACAAGCGGGTGTTACCAACGAAGTTATCAACAGAGCTATATCGTCATTCATAATTCAGGTATTTTTATATTTGTGTCATTCTCTTCCGATCTGATTGATTGATACAGTTCTCATGCGCTAACGATAAACTGTCGGCTCACGATGCTTGTGATTGAATTATACAGACAAACACTTTTGAGTGTTTAGTTCTCAAGTATTGTTCTTGTTGAACTGCATATCGCAATTTAATTGTCAATTTTTGCCGCTATTTTCATTTGTGGGAAATTTTAAATATTGAGCTGTTTGGTCACAATGACTTGGCGCTGTTCTCATACGAAGGCGTTCCATTCTGAGATTTCTTTCAGAAGCCTCAACCGTGGTGATTTGATTTTCATGAAATATGAAAGTAGAGGTGCTCAATGGAGCGGCAACGAAGGAGACTAGCGGAGAGGCGAAGTTCCGAGAAAAGAGACCCCTGTTTGTGCTTGTTCATTCAAGCTGATGTATCCTTGGCTGAACACAACCTGTTACATGAAGGGAAAGAGGATACCTTAACACCTTTAAACAAGTCTTTATTTGTGGATGAGCTGGTTTTGGTGCGTGTTTGCATTCTTCAGCACTTAACACGATACCATCTGATTATCGTAACCGCTCTCTTTGCACAATAGAATTATCGCAATGCGTATTCCGACTACAATTTCTTTTTATTTTCTTCGGGAACAGAAGACCAATTGTTCTCCACATTCCGCACGTTCTCCTTATTATAAAGCACGGAGGCGTAGATAGAGCAGTAGCAAAATAGATATTATACATTCATTTATTCGAAGACCCATCGATCTAGTTCTTAAAACCAATCTTTTTTTGCTTGAAAGGAATTTGATAATGTAATTAATTGCGCCAAAATTTCGTAGGCTCGGAGAATTTCTTTTGGAGATAGGTCGCGGTCAAGTCTCTCCACACCATGGATGCATACTAAGATGTGATACGCGCATATGGAATTGTATAATACTGGGTTTAATATCTTATATGTGGCTAATGAGTAGCATTTTAGTAACTCTCACTGGAAAGCTATAGCCTTATTTTGCCTTGCTTTTTGAGCTATTTTACCTGTTCATGTAGGAGAATGGTTATAATTAGAGAAACGAGTTAAGGTTATCGCCGGGCATGGAGCACCGGCTCCTCGTCTGTGCAACAAGGATCCGTTCACAATGAAATCTGCCGCGTTTCTAGCAGAGCTGTTCCCTAATGCCAAGTTCATTTTCATGATCAGAGATGGTAGAGCGACAGTGCATAGCATAATTTCAAGACAGGTAATTTCTTCATGCTCAGTTCCATTTGCCGTCCTCCATCTTTCTTTTTCGGAAAACATGTAATTGTGTATTCACTGGACCTTCGTTCTCTTCAGGTGACAATTACTGGTTTCGACTTGAGTAGCTATCGTCAGAGTTTGACGAAATGGAATGCGGCGATAACAATCATGGACGAACAATGCTCAAATGTCGGCAGTAAATGTTTGAGGGTGTGTAATTTACAGATGCTGGTTTTCTGTAGCACAGTACAGTCGCTATGAAGTTAAGGCGCTAACCTTATGCCCTATCAATGGCCCCATGTTACTGCACCTTTTGCTGAAGTATTCGGGTTGTTCCTTGTCGGAGCTAGGTTTTTTAAAATTGCTCTTGAAAAAGTGGCTTTGTGAGGAATCTCCAAAATTGTTGCCCGAGTTTTGTTCGATAGAGAGAATACTAGCGCCTACTAGAAAGAAAGGAGTCAAAGCAGCAACCCTAGATGAGGTCGTCTCGAACAGTCTTCTGTGGGTAGGGTCAGGTCAGAATAGCTCACGAGAATTACTGTGCCATTTTCGCTGCTTAAGAGTGCGCTGCAATGGCGTTAAGGCCTTACGAAAAAAGCTAACGACGACTTATGTGAGCTAATAGGCGCCATTTAACGCCCCACAAACACACAAGCTGGATTACGACGTGGCGGCCAATTCAGATAGAGCTACGAGTTAATGGAGCTATTGAGCAAGCAGGCTCAGACAACACTTCCGGGACGCCCCTCTCATTTCGTGGGGATGAGAGGGAGTCCTTGTTTGAGAGCCTCATCGGTGGTTTGCTTTCTTCTTCTTTTTTTTCCATTTTCACTACTCCGCCTCCACAATTCCATTACCGACGGGTGGACTCCACCAGTTTATCTGGGGTTGTTTCTTCAATACTTCAGGTTTCTTCGGGTTGTCCGATAAGTAAGTGTCCCTCTTTTCTCTCGACGACCCACACGATCGTGCGCAGAAATTGTGAACTCCGTTTTTTCACTTTTGCTTTTTATGGGCGAAAGTTGTGTGTTGGCAGGTGTCGCTGGTTACCACGCGTATGGTGCTAATTAGCAGCAGTCGTCTAGAAGGATGAAAATTCGGTACTTAAACACCCATAGGCTTCCCGCTATTCATTGTATAGACCAAGTCGTATTCTGGGTGCCACTACGACTTTTGAATGGTGGTAGAGCGTGGCGTATTCCATCAAGGGGTTCATCAGCAGCGATGTTTTATCTGTTTACCCTTTGTTTTACAGGCGCAGTCGTTGCCATGAACTAAGTAAGTAGTGCTGGGATTCGACAAGGTCTAGAAATGATGTGCATAAATGTCATGCAAATGTGCATTTAAGAAACTTTTGACAAGGGTTTACAATCATTACTTTGGTATTTTATGTTCACTAGCATTGATTCAGGTGTATTACGAACAACTCGTATTGCATCCCGAACCGCAGATGCGGAGAATCTTAGAGTTCTTGGGCCTTCCATGGAACTCCACTGTATTGCACCACGAACAATTCATAGGAAAAGCTATTTCCTTATCAAAGGTGGAACGAAGCTCGGATCAGGTCAGTTATCTTCATTTTTACATCTTTTGAACTTGTCTTTACCCTGTGTTTTCTTTGTTAAAAAGTTTCTTAGGCGTCTTATAGCATTTATGTCGTATAATGTTTTCCTATTTCCTCGATCCTTGTAGGTTGTGAAGCCAGTAAATATGGACGCGTTGTCGAAATGGGTAGGTGCTATACCTGAAGATGTTGTAAAAGAAATGGACACGATAGCACCGATGCTGCAGCAGCTGGGTTACGATCCAAATGCGAACCCACCAAACTATGGTATGATTTGGTTATTTTTAGATTTTGTGTTGTACAGATGTTCTGTTGGTCCTTCTTACCGCTCTGCTTTCGTAGGTACACCTGACGAGTTGGTGGCAAAGAAAACGGAAGACCTTCATAAGAATGGTGAAGAGTGGTACAGAAAAGCGGTGATGGTTGTGAATGATCCGAACCGAGTCGATAAACCAAAGCACTAGCAGCCTTCGTAGATTTGATAGGCTGGTTCTGGTTGAATATGGGTATAGCTGTTATTTCGATTGCAACGTGTTTCCTTGTTTGTTGACAAGTATTTCCTATTTGCCTTTCGTGAGTTATTTTTTTGTGCTCATTCATCCCTTCGAGCTTCAGACTTCTCTGACTTCAAAAATAGTGTAAATAGAATTTTCTGTATTGGAATCATCGTAGTTTATTTCGAGTTTTGGCTGCTGTGGTACTGGTGTAGTCAGCTTTCTTGCCAAGCGAATTGCTAGGGAGATATACAATATACATATCGATTGTGTGCCATTTTAAATGGTGAAAACCTACCACGCGTGTAGATTTTGCATGGTTATGGAATATTCAGTACATCATTCGCCTCTTCTGCCCAAGATATTGCTTGTAATGGGTTGTTCTCTGAGATTGAAATCCCTCGATACAATATCTGCTGAAATCTAGATACTTGACGAATTTTCGGAGTTGGGTGAATGCACGGCGCAGTGCCGCACTACAGCCACTTTAGAATGACCAAATTGTCTGCGATTGTGATATATATCTCCCGCCGTATCTACCAAATGTGCACATTCGTATCGGAGATTCATTATATTGAACTTCTAGAACTTTCCTCTGTCTGATCTGAAATCTTCCATATTAAAGTGCGATTCTTTTTGTTTCAATAGTTTTTCCGGGTCAAGTTCCACGCAATTCATGGGATTTCGTATAGTATTCTTGATATGTAATGTTGACCTACTGTCTGTGATAACATTTTTCAGAACTCAATAAATGTGTTATTATTTACCGTAAGTAAAGAAGTACAATGTCTAGGCCAAAGTACTGGCAGGTCAGGCGACGACGCGACGTTCGCGCATGCTGCGATATAACCTTGCGCGACAGTTTAATCCGAGTACTGTATTCTCTTCGCTTACCGCGTCATGATCTAACAATGCCTAAACCATTTCTCTAAGACTTGGGTACCTCGGGTATACGCCACCGCGCCACGCCTAAGGCAGTTTTTTAGCAGAAAAGTGCCGTAACTGATGCGCAAAACACGCATTGTAGCGCAGTGTGAATGCAGAAGGGGCCGGACATCTGCACCTGAACTGTTGCTTCCACGCCCATATTTACACTTTCCTAATCAAAAAAACGAAAGAGGCGTGGGATCAGAATACACCACAAGTGACGATCGCCTCGATTATCTTGTTAGTATGGATTCATGAGCATTTTATTTTCACCAGATTAGTTCCCCGTCAACCGCCGGGACCTTCCTTTAACCTGTGACACCAACACCTCCTGGAAGTGACGCGTATGCAACACAATGGTGTTTCATACAGTAGAAGGGACACAATCATGATATGACGGTAGATTTTTCGCTTCCCTTCCTCATCCTCCCTTCCTCTCTCCACTGCCCTCCAGCTGCCACTGCAGCACCATGTGGAATGAACGGAAGTGTGCTAAGCAGGTGTTTATATAGCCCTAAGAGTGTTATCACAACTATCCTGCTACAAAACATTGATATCTCAAATCCTGTAAGCTACCCGATTTGTTAGCGGTTTGTTTATCCCATGAGCTTCCTTCTCACTCACTTCATTTTGCGGACGGACACACATACATACACACACACACACACACACACACACACATACAGATACACAAACCGACACACAAAGTTAGCGCTTTATATAATATATAATAATATTTTTTGTAAATGATAGTTGTAATTAGTGACAACTGATAGAATACAACTGCAACAGGCTAATCATTTCATTGGCAGAAAACATTTACATTTTGTGGAGGCCGTCGTCACTTGTGGTGTATGGTCTGCACCCGACGCTCTCCTCGTTTTTTAAGGGAGAATACATCATTCTGACACTTTCACTCGTGAACCTAGCCCCGTGTCTGCTCACTCCCGTGAGTATACCTCACGATAGGAATCTCACATACTTAACTTCTGAACGGCTGGTAATCATCTCAGTGCCTTAGCTAATAGGTCAAGACTGGATAAATTGGCAGCCTCGTGTAATGATTGTCGCGATAACTAGAAGCTGGAGGTGGGGAGTGGTCCTTAAAACGCCGAGAGGGAATCTCGCTAATGTGTTCCGAAAAAGTCAACCCCTTCTTTTCAGCCGTATGCACGGATGGAGGAGGGGCGGAGAGCGGAAGTCCACGCTATCCAGCTGCTATCTAAGTCTACCCCTTTACGGCACCCCGTATTGTTACAACTGGTCCCTTTGAGCTCCTCTCCATTTCATTGACAAGGCAGCAACGCAAGCGCACTATCAATTCTTTGCACTGCACGGAAGTAGCTTACCTTTATGGTCCCTCCTCCCCTCAGGGCTTAGCCCTAGCGCTCTGTCCCCCCCCCTTTTCGAAATTTTGAGCCGTGCCAAGGCCGTTTTTCAAGCGTTTGTGCGCTAGCCATTTGCGACAAGACCATTGAGGGAAGTTCAAATTAGATCCGTAAAACTACGCTGCTGCAACCGCCGATTGCGCTTTCTCGCGCAGCCCAGCGAAGAGCGGAGCTTGCGGAGCAGAGGTGTGAATTGCGGAGCGGGAGGAAAATTCTTAGCGCATTTTGAAGCCGAGGGGCCAGGACATCAACGCTTGTTCGCCTGTCGACCATGATCGGGGATGGAACAGGTGAACATGCCTAATCCTGGACCGTGCCTCTGATCTCTCACACTTTCCTGTAGCTTCGGCGGGTGTCCTTCAGAGCGCGGTCATAGTTTGCGACACCTCGAATTCGTGTACAGTTCGAATGTAATCGATCATGCGATCGAAAAGTCGCAAGACCGCACGATCGATACGTATCTACTCCACACTGGGACAGCAAGACAGTTGTAAAGAATGACCGCATTACAGCCTCACGTGCAGGCGAGGATTTTGGACAGTTTATGGTGACCGCTGCCATTGGTGCTTGACGTGATCGCGCGCACCCGTATCGATTTTTCGCTGTTCCAGACGCGGCAAAATCGCAACATCACAAGTTCAGACTTGTTGCTGAAGAAGTGATGTTTGATACAATGCTTTCCTAGCGAAAGGAATTCATATTACCGTTCGACGGGCGCCAACCAGGCTCAGAAGCTTCATCGATACATAAGATTTCAGAAACATCATTGTAAAGGTTGTACGTTTCGTACTTCTCCCCTGGTTCTCATTGCGTAAGTCTTATGATTCTGAAAGGTTTCTAAGCTGTAAGAAAAGAATGCATGTTTATTATTCGGTACTGAGGAATATTTGTGCCGGAATTCGGAGCTTACTAAATTGACCTTACGGAGTACTAGCATTCTTCTGTTTTTTTTGGAAATGGAGAACACCAGTTGACTATTTGATCGTCACTCATTTTCACTGCTGTTTAGGATATCATGGAGTAAGCGCCAGTTGAAAGAACATGAGGCATCGTTCTAATAACATTTATTTTGTGACTGTGGTCTTGACATTTGCAATATGCTTTCTGATTTCATTCAGGTACGTTTTGAACTGAACCATTTGTGTAGGCTTGACGATCTAAATGCTCACTTCTCGTGCACCTTGCAGTTCAGTTTGGCTTGAATTAAAGTTAGGCCGCGGTCATACTTGGCAACCGTTAATCTGGTGTCAGAGTCTGCGATGCGTCGCAAGTTTCGCTTATTTTCGCGATTTGCGCGTTTCACGCGATTTTCGCGATTTGCGCCACGGGTCACAGAAATCTGCAAGGCCCTGATCAACACTGCCGCCACTTCTGCTTGATAGTGATGGCTTAATGACGACTGCTCATGATTCCACTTGCTTCATATTCAGACCACTGTCACACTCGGTGACGGACAAGCGATGGAGCGACGCGATCGCGGGAATCGCACAAACCGCGAAAATCAGCGAAACCTGCGATTCTTACCCCAGCCTATGAGATGCGGTTCGCTGTGCTATCTTAGTTGGAGGGGGGGGGGGCAATGAAAATGAGAGGAAATCTGAATGAAATCTTTGTAACAGAATCAGTTACTTCCTCAGTCCGGAAAAGAGGCATATAAGCTTTATGTTGTTAGAAGTTTGCAGAAGTGAATAGAGTGAAATATGTTAGTCGGGGTTGAAGGCATCTTGCACTTAGATGTCGGTCAGACTCGGCGATTGCATCGCGATGGACCAGTGCCGGAGCGACGCGATCGCTCCATCGCTTGTCCATCGCGATGCAATCGCTCTGCCTAGAGCGATTGCATCGCGCGATGCAGTCGCTCTTGCAATGTGCACAAGCGACGGGCGATTTGCCCCGCCCACATCGATGCAGTCGACATCGGTATCGATCGCGGGCCATTGCCCGCCGCTTGCACTTTTAGCAGAGCGATTGGTTTTTTGGCGATTGCATCGCGACTCTAGGCAGAGCGACTGCATCGCGCGATGCAATCGCAGAGTCTGACCGACATTTTACAGTCGAAATCTAAGAGTTGTGGTAGGCGTGTTACCGGAAGTGACAGAGGTTGCGTGGATAAGCTGTTGCCAGCATGCTTTGCTGATATCCAGCGAAGTATGTTGGAAGCAGCTTGTCCACATAACTTCTATCAAGTGCACGTCACTTCCGGTGACACGCCTACCCCAACTCTCCGATATCGAGTATACATACATGAGTGGACACAATTCCTTTTGATGGTCGGGTGTCTGCGTCTCTCTCTTCCCCATTCTATCTCATCCATAACGCCGCATCCTCTTTGACGTGATCTTGCATAATGTTCTACCATAAATCATTTCCCGAGTGCGAGGCTCTGCTTTCGGTGTTTCCAACGATTTGGTTTTTCCTTTCACTAGCGAACCACGTGCATCGCCTGCTTCGCACCTGAATCCATGGTGCAGTGAACGGAAATTCAAAACTTTCTTTTTTTCTTCTAGAATTGCAAGAATAAATGTTCCCGTAATCAATATCTTAAATGAGAACAAAGCACGCAAACAACTCAAAATACAGTCCCGCTTTAGGCTCTTCAAATCGAAGGAGTTTCATACAGACGAAGTTTCGTTGAGACCTACACCTTACGGGAATGTAGACGAAAAAGCACCGTTCATATTTATAGGTACGCTTTTTTGATCTCTTATAGTAGGTGAGTTGAGGTCTAACCCGATTCCTTGAAGGTGGAATACCCCGATCGGGAACGACTCTGCTGCGTGCAATGCTCGATGCACATCCAGATGTGCGCTGCGGCGAGGAGACCAGAGTTATTCCAAGTATTCTGGCTCTTGTGTCCAAGATGAAACGCAACACAACGGTTGTTTATTTTGCGAATTGGGCTCTTTAGTCTATATGTAAGGTCTCATCCACTAAGGGGGCATGTGGTGCGACAGATTCATGTCGCCTAAATGGTCCAACTCTTTGCAAGGGGGAAAACTCGGGGGTAGCTGTAAAAGCGGAAGTGAAATGGTTCACGCACTCCGAGGATTTCTTCCTTTGCAAGAATTGAAGTTCTCGTAGGCGGCGACAAGTGTAGCACCCCCCCCCCTTAGTGAATGAGACCCTAAATTTATATTTATTCAGTTGAATTCACTGACTTTTAGTCTTCATGCATATTAAAACAAGCCTTGCGATCGCACGCCTAACCGCAATCTGACTTTTGAAATGAATCTTGCTTCCGTGCCTTGAAAAAAAATGTGTTCAGGAATGGAGTCGTTTGCATAGTGCTGGTGTCACCAACAAGGTAATAAGTAATGCCGTCGCATCGTTCATCATTCAGGTAGTTTTTATTATGACCCATACAAACCAGGTGTTGTAAATTAATCGCTCTGTGTGGGATGACCTATGGCCAACTCAAATGCTATCCATCGTTTTCATGCTGATATTGTGATTTTGTGAACAAGCTTTGCAGAATTGGCGGCTTTAGCTCACGCTCGGTAGAAAACTATGAGACCAGCTATCAGCCTTGCGCGCCATAAAAAGCGGCTGCCTTTCCAGATGACGTAAAATTTACTCTTTGTGTTTCACACTGGAAAGAATATCAAGAGAGTCCTAAAGAATAGTTCCAGAGAGATTGTAGCTACCCAATTACGGCACCGTTATTAACTTGGAGATCAGCAGTTTACAGCTGCACGCACTATGCTGGACTTGTTTTTGGCGCATAATTTGGATCTTCCTACATAGTTGAAAATCTTCAGCAGGTCATTAAAAGCTTCCCACTAGCTAACAAGGTTGAGCTAATTACGTGCATATTTTCTAGTATTAGAAAATCGTTTTTCATTATCTTCACCGCGCTGGCAAATAGCTTTCATTGTTTTAATCTGTGGCTTTGTTTCGAACTGTTGTGTTGCGCGCGGTCGCGAAAGCTTGCAAATGTGCAGTGCGCAGTAAGTCACTTTTCGCGAACATTGAGACAGACGATCTTCTTCAAACATGTCGTTCACTTCAAGTAGCAAATCTTACTTGCTATGACTCCCACCCAGGTGTCTATCAGTAGGTCATGGTGCAGCGCCGCGTAATGAGTTCGGTGACTTTAAGCCACTTCTACCATGGTCTACTAATCATTTACATTATCTGGTAACAACTTTGTTAGCAGAATCTAGGAGTCTCATCCAGTTCATATTGCATGAAGTGATCCACTTTTTTGGGAAGGGAAGCTCCGGGGTGGGTGTAAAAGTTTAAGCGAAATGGTTCACGCACCCCGGGGATTCCCTCCCCTTGCAAAAATTGGAATTTCTGTAGCCGGCAAGAACTGTCACACCACATGCCCCCCCCTTACTGGATGAGACCCGAATCTGGTGGCAGCGAGGAGTAAGGTGGATGTGAATCACCATTTAGGGATTGTTTTTAGCAATTCTTCTTCAGGTTATAGCTGGCCATGGTGCTCCAGCTCCCCGTTTGTGTAACAAAGATCCTTACACACTAAATGCTGCCACATACTTGGCGAGGATTTTCCCAAATGCTCGTTTTCTCTTCGTTATTCGAGATGGCAGAGCTACTGTGCACAGTATGATTTCTAGAAAGGTTTTTGAAGTTACTTCTTTGCTGAAACAGTAGAATAAAGGTTTTTTGTTCATTGGCCATAATCAAGGTTGTCTTCAGATTCCTGTTGAGCGCTTCAATGTATCTAGCTATCGCCAAAGTTTGAAGGCGTGGAACGAAATCATATCAACAATGGATGAACAATGCAGAAAAATCAGCATCAAATGTTTACGGGTACATGTTTATTGAGAGATGCTGTTTTTTTAAATGGTGTGCTCTCCTTTTCAACTTTAGCGGGGAAGGAGGTGCACTCCTTATCCCAGCGTCTGGGTGGGCATGTCTGCGGACTTGTTGGGAAGTAGACCACAGAACCGTGCTGCAAGGCTAATATTCTGCTATTTTTTGGTGTACGGTTTTGTTGCAGCCTGTCCATGATTTAAGCACTTTCTATTTGGCTTACGTTTCGGCCTCTTCGCCCGTACAATAAAGTGTTTTGTTAGTCACTCATCTGACAAGTCCCCAAGGGTTTTTAGGCATGCCCTCCTCAGACGCTGGCATATGAACTAAATACCGTTTTGGATGAACCAAGCCAAAACGGTAGCACTCATCAACCAAGAATGAATAAGCGCAATCGCTCAGCGGCCACACTCTTGATAACTTTTTCCCCTGTCATTCGAAGTTCTTATGGAACGCACCACTAGAGATCTGTCCGCTGCTGGTGAGGAAGAATAACTTAGGAATTGTGGTTAATTCAGCCAGGCCTTTGCCAGTCTCTTTCAAGTTAGATGTGAGAGGAGTGCGTTTTTCATGGCATGCACCAACTTGCTGTCACCTATACAACATGTTTTGCTGACTAAAATTTGATAGTGGCTATGGGAATATAATTCGTAGAAGTTTCAGGTTTATTACGAGCAACTCGTGTTGCATCCTGAGTCAGAAATGCGACGCATTTTGGAATTCTTAGAACTTCCATGGAGCCCAAGCGTGTTGCGTCATGAACACTACATTGGAAAGAAAATCAAGCTGTCAAAAATGGAGTTAAGTTCAGACCAGGTGATATTGATCCCTCTAATTGCTTTTATTTTTTTCATTTCGTCAATCTTAAAGTGATAAAATGGAAATAGTTGTGATGCTCCAATTCTTCCTCTATTGGATTGAACATTCCTGAAGGTTTCTGTGGACATATTCAGGTGATCAAGCCTTTGAACACAGATGCGTTGTCAAAATGGGTAGGAGCTATACCCAAAGATGTTGTAAAAGAAATGGAGGCGATAGCACCGATGTTGCGGCAGCTGGGTTATGATCCAAATGCGAACCCACCCAACTACGGTATGATTCGTTTATTTCCAGATCTTATGTTGTACAGATGTTCTGTTGAACCTTGTTACCGCTATGCTGTCGTAGGTATACCGGACGAGTTGGTGGCAAAGAAAACGGAAGACCTTCATAAGAATGGTGAAGAGTGGTACAAAAAGGCGAAGATGGCTGTAGATAATCCGAATCGAGTCGATAAACCAAAACACTAAACGTTTCTTGACTTGACAGGCGGGTTTCGAACCGAAACGGGTTTAGATTTGCTTGACATGAATACATCCAAAATTATGTATCTAAATAAAGAATAATAAAGAATGGAATGAGCCTTGTGCATTCGATAGACAGATTCACCGAAAAAGAGAAGCAGCAGCTTCTTCGCTGAGTTTGATTCAATCAAAAGCGCCATGTTTCCTTCATGAAAAACATTTATTATTATGGATCTCTCGTCAAAAGGATCCTGGAAAACGTTTTCTGTAATAACTTCAGTAGTTACCATCTTGAAAATCCTTCGGTACTTTTCTTCGTTCTCTTCAGGGATGTGACCCTGCACGAGAAAAAATTCTTCCACAACGGCTCCCCTACTTTCTTCACGATTTAAGGCGCGCCCGCGGACGAGTCCACAATGCCCGCGAATTGAATTTGGGCCTGCGACTCTCTAACACTACGGATAGGTATCCTCCAACTTCTCTCTTCTTGTAACCTCGGCATCAGTTGTTCTGTGTATTTTTCATGTGCCATACGAGGATTGATAGGTGGAACGTTTATTTGATCGGCCTTACGTTTCGACAAAATCCTCTGAGGACACGATTTTGATGATGATAGAGATTGATATGAGATAGATATATATTAGGTCGGTCCATAAGTCTTGCAACAAACTACATTTAATGCTATAGAATTTTAGGGAGAACTCCTGAAAATCCGCAACATATTTCCTGACGTAGCATCAACG